TTAAAATATAAATTAAACAAATCTTATTATTATTTTTTTTAAATGATCAAGGTGTTTTCATGAAAGGGCAAAATGAAGCGCGCACAACAATTGCATGTTGTCTAGATGAATATGAAAAAAGAAAAAGGACCCATTGGACCTACGTAGCCGCCAAACAAGCCACGCATATCTTAGACTTCCCTCTGCCCATCTTTCTCTCCTTCATGTTGGCACAAATTCCAAATTAGCCCCTAAAGTTCATAAGTTTGGCCCTAAGTTTCCTCAAATTATAATTTTGTAATTTTAAGCCCTAAACCATTCTAGTTTGAGACTCAAACACCAAGTTAATGGTAAAAACTCGCGTTTCTGTGATGTACCCATTACCTTTGTTCAAAAATGCCATGTCACCTTCATACATAAGCAAATTTTGTTCATGCAAGCATGCTACATTAAATTAAAGGTTCATTTAATGTCAAAATTACCTTTTTATCCTTAATTGCTATCAAATTTCCAAATCTCACCACCCTGCCTTTTTCCAATTAAAAACCTCAATATGTCTTGCCTTTTCTTGAGCATTTAATCCAAAAAAATGAAGAAAGAGAGAAGGCCTGAACCTAAAGTGAAGCAAGAAAATTCAATTTAAGTAAATCGATAGAGTAAGGATGATGAGCTACACAAGCAATCTTACCCCTCCTTTTTCAAAATGCATTCATTTACACTTGTTAAAAATGGTGAAATAGACTCTAATTCAATAAAGGCAAAAATAGCAAGTACTCTAGAAAAAAGCTCTAGATCTAGGAAAAAAGTACACTACAAAAATCAAGGAGACATTTGAGAAAATCATGAATCAATCCAACATTGAAAGCTTAACTTTTCTAGCTATCGTTTTTTTTATTAAGTGCAATAAAGAGAAAACATAGAAAAATCCATAAAAATCACTTCCAAAACTAAAAATTTAACTAGTTATTCTAAGTTATTTCACTTCAATAAAATTCATCTATTATCGATCAACTTTCAAACAAAAAATAAAAAATAATACAAAAACCTAAATCTAGGTTTTTCAAATAAAAAAAATTAACTACATGAACAATAGATTAGTATAAAAGCTTGCATTGTGAATAAATCAAAGTTCAAAATTCTTTTGAAAATTCAAGAAACGTACTAGAACAAGTAAATCCTCATTGAACAGTGCCTTATGAAATTCCTAAAGGGAGAAAATTGAAAATTTGAAACCACAATTTCTTCCTTTATCCATACTACGAACAACCCTTTTCCCTTCCTCTCTCCTACGGTCTACAGATGAACTCCAAAACCCTAGGCTTTGTTTCCTCCAATTTTGCTTCTCTAATTGTCTATCTATACCTCAATTAGTTACAAATCAATCGATAAATGGTTAATAGAGTAGCATCCACAGCTTTGTTTGTAGCATCCATGGCTCTATCCCTTAATTAGTCACCAATCAACCAATAAATAGTTGATAAAGTAGCATCCATGACTTTGTTTACGGCTTTCATGGCTTTATCCCTCAATTAGGCACCAATTAACTGGTAAATGACATACTTTCTCAATTAGGTTTTCTATATTAGAAATATATTCGAACTGCTGTGAAACTAAATTTACTAACCTCTAGCCATTATTGTTCAAGTAATATAGTCTAAGCAGATCACCCAAAGCATTTTGTCCTATGCTATTGCCATAATATGATAATGACACTTCTACAAGAGAATCAAGGTTAAGCAATACCAAGGCTTTTAGAAGATGATGATTGTATGATGTAGTTTTTCAAGAGGAGGAAATTGGGTTCGTGTTTTGGGATTAAGTGGAAAACATGATTAGGAAAAAATGGAGGCTTCTAGTCTATTATCTTTCGAAAACTAGAAGCTGATGATCTAATGAAAAAAGCACTAGCATAGTTATAGGCTAGAGCTAGACTAGGGACCCATCTATTAAACTATTGAAAACAACTTCCTACCATCAAGGAAGTGCATCTTAAAAATCCTAGAAGACTCTATACATGGGTTTTAGCTAAAGAATATCTTTTCAATAATATCACCGTTATCTTAATCATTTAATTAATTCAATTTAATTAGTTTTATCTGATTTAGTGATGTGGCATATGAGACACATTTAAGAGATAATTCCAACATTTTCCCACTTGATCCATATGACACATCAAAAATTTAAAAAAGGTGATACTATACATAAATAATACCACTTTAAAATTTTCAAAACATGAATCTTGGTAAAAATATTTATTGATAGAATACTTCTTTCCAAGCATTACAATGTAAGAAACCTTTCACATAAAATACTTTCTTTATAAATGAATTAAAAACATTCAAGGGTCCCTGTTTCAACATAAGCCTTATGTGCACAAATAAGAAAATATTGAAACTTTGATTCTAAGAACGTCAAAAATTACATAAGTTGAAAATTAAAATGAATCACAAATTCCCATTTGACCCACATGATCTTGAAACTGTTTTGCCAGCAAAACTTTGGTCATGGGATTAGCTATCATCAGTTTGGTACTAATATGTTGGATATCCACCTTTTGATTTTTGACATGTTCTCAAACTTTAAGATATTCTATATCTATGGTTCTACTGTGACTATCACCTATTTCATTCTTAGAAAAGTAAATTGTAGCCAAGTTGTTACAAAATATTATTAGTGGTTTTGTTATTGAATTGACAACTTGTAATTCAAAAATGAAATTCCTTAATTACATTGCCTGTGAAGTAGCCTCAAAACATGCAATGAACTTAGCTTTCATTGTAGAGGTAGAAATGCATGTTTGCTTAACACTTTTCCAAAATATAGCTCCTTCTACAAGAAGGAAAATATATCTTGAAGTAGACTTTGTATTCAAACGTCCTCCTAAATCCGAGTTTGAATAACCAAACACTTCAAGATGATCAGTATGCTTATAAGTAAATGATTCTTGGTACCTTATAAATATCGCAAAACCTTCTTAGCAGCTTTTCAATGCTCAATTCGTAGATTGGTTTGATATCTCCCTAACATTCTGACTACAAAAGCAATATTTTGTCTAGTGCAAGCTTGTGCATACATCGAGCTTTCTATTGCATATGCATATGGAATGTTTTTTGTCTTTTCCTTCTATAACTCATTTTATGAACATTGAAGTATAGTAAACTTGTCTCCTTTCATAATGGGTGCCTCTGCAAGAGAACAACTTCACATCTCAAATGTTTTCAAAATTTTCTCAATGTAAGCCTTTTGAGATAGACTCAATTTTTTTTATGACCTATCTCTATGAATTGCTATGCCAATGACATAGAAGGCTTCTCTTAGATCTTTCATTTCAAAATTTTATGAAAGAAATTGTTTTGTTTCATGAAGAAAATCCACATCACTAATTGCAAGCGAAATATCATTTACGTATAAAACTAAGAAAATGACTTTACTCCCATTGATCCTTTGGTATATATATTGATCCATAATATTTTTTATAAACCAAACGAGGTAATAACATTGTAGAATTTAGTATACCATTAATGGGAAGTTTGTTTCAAACCATAGATAGATTTCTATAGCTTGCAAACCAAATGACTTTCCTTGCCTTCAACTTGATTCATGTAACTTGTTTTTCAAGATCCCCATTTAAAAGAGTAGTCTTTACATCCATTTGATGTAACTCAAAATCAAAATTTCAAAATGAGCTACAAGAGCCATGATTATTCTAAATGAATCCTTTTTATAAACTAGAGAGAAGGTTTCATGGCAATCAATGCCTTCTTCTTGAGTGTAACCTTTTATTACAAGACAGGCTTTATATCGTTCAATGTTACTAGAAGCATCCTTTTTAGTCTTAAAGACCCATTTACAACCAATGGTTCTTGATCCCTTTGGTAATTCAACAAGTTCCCAAACTTTGATTTTTGGCCATAGATTCCATCTCTTGTTTGATGGCATCATACCAAAGTGATGAGTTTTCACCATTCATGGCTCCTAAAAATGAATTAGGATCATTTCTAAGCCTAATATTAAAATCAAACTCTTGCAAGTATACAATATAATCATTAGAGAGATTGTTGATTTCATTTGTCTTGAAGATCTATTTACTATCATTTTATCCATTTTGTTTTGGATACTTGTTCCTTCATGAACTTGCTCTTTATGGAGTTGTTGTTTAGTAATTTGTTTTTCCACATGAAAGGCAGCTAACTATTACTACTTTTGTCTACCTCAATTTTATCCCTTTCTCTATCAAAAACTAGTTTTTAAGTACAACTCCCACTAACTTCAAGATCTTCAAGAAACTTTACATTTCTAGTTTTGATAATTATTGGTGTGTGAGATAGACAATAAAATTTGTATCTTTTGGAGTTAATTGCATAGTCAATAAAATTACCACTAATTGTTCTAAGGTCAAGTTTCTTTATTTGAGAATTATAAATCCTCACTTTTGCTAAACAACCCCAAACTTGTGTATGATTTAAACTTGGTTTCCATGCTTTTCCATAACTCAAAAGGAGTTTTTAGAACAACTTTTAGTGGAACTTGATTTAAAATATACACTGCAATGTTTAAAGCTTCTCTCCAAAGAGATAAAGGCATATTAGTGTAATAAATCATGCTTCTTACCATATCCATAATTGTCTTGTTCCTTCTCTCTGCAACCCCATTTTGTTGAGGTGTTCTAAGCATTGTGTACTAAGCAACAATAACTTCTTCTGCTAGGAACTTAGCAAATGAACCTACCATTTATCCTTTTTCTGTGTACCTTTCATAGTACTCCCCTCCTTTATCAAATCTTGCAATTTTGATATTCTTTTTTCTTTTGTTTTTCTACCTTTGCTTCATATGTTTTATTTGTTCATATTTCTCATCTAGAGTACTTAATTTTGTGGGAATAGGGAGTTCATCTACTCAAAGTGCTAGGTCAAGGTCCATATAATCAAGAAACAAGAGGATTTTCTCCTTCCAATCAACATAATTGTCCCCAAAAACTATTGGGACATCCTTAGCAAAAGAGTTGGGAATAGCTATAAAATGAAATGGATACCATCATATCTATTTCCATGAAATAGTATTCAAATTGTAAATTCTTACCTTTCTTGTGGGTATAGGTGCAACTAGTACATAATTTATAAAGAACTGGAAATAATGAGAGTAGTAATAAATTTGGAAATTTCTATACCTATGGGACTAGGAAATTAAATTTAAAACTTTAGTCACTACCTTTGTTCTTATTAGCTTACAAAATAATTACCTCCTTATGGACCAAAGTAAAAATTTTATAAGCTAAATCTTTAGTAATCATAAATTCACAAGTCCTTACGATGCTATGGCTACTCTAAGTTAATATATCATGAATTTTAAAATATAGGCTAGTGATAAAATGCATTTAGATTCTATATATATACATATATAGACACACTAATCAAGCTTTTCTTTTATATCAACCTAATATGGGTACCAGATGAATTTGAAACACAAAACTCCGACTTGTAATGAATAATTAAATACATAAACTTTTCTCAAAATCATGATCAAATGCTTTCTTAACTCTATTTAGCACATACCTTGAATCTTATATAAAATAAAATTGCTCAAGAGATGAAAGCATGGTTAGGAGTGTGGCTCTAATACCAAAAATATTAGAAATATATTTGAATTGCTTCGGAACTAAATTTACTAACCTCTAACCATTGTTGTTCAAGAATTGATGCAGTTCCAGCAGATCACTCGAACTATCTTGTTTGGTGCTATTGCCACAATATAATAATAAAACTTCAGCAAGAGAATCAAGGTTAAGCAATAACAAGGCTTTTGGAAAGATGATGATTGTATGATGTAATTTTTCAAGAGGAGGAAATTGGGTTGGTGTTTTAGGATTAAAAGGAAAACATGATTAGGAAAAGATGGAGGCTTCTAGGCTATTGCCTTATGAAAACTAGAAGCTAATGATCTAAGTGAAAAACCATAGGTGTAGTTATAGGCTAGACTAGGAACTCATTCATTAAACTGTTAACAACTTCCTACCATTAAGGAAGTGCATCCTAAAAATCCTAGAAGTCTCTGTACATAAGTTTTAATTGGAGAAAATCTCTCTAGTAATATTACTATTATTTTAATTATTTTTATTTGATTTAGTGATGTGGTATATGGGTCACATTTAAGAGATAATTCCCACATTCTAAATGACTCACATCAAATTCAATGGAGAACCCATTAGGGGTTACGTATATGGATTGAGTTTCTCGTGGAACTCATGGGTGAATCTACATCAGGTTCCCTTGAGAATCGAGATTTAAGAATTTCTTAGAGAACTTGGATTTAGGGGTTCCATAAAGAACTCAAGTGGGTTCTTGTTGAATAAAAAAAAGAAAAAAGAAAAGAAAGATGAAGATAAGGAAAGTGGGAGATGAAGAGGATTTTTTTTAAAGAAAAAAAATGATGAATAATTTTATTTTTTTTTTTATAATTTTATATATTATTTAAATAATTTTTTTTTTAAACAAATTATTAAAAGATCGGATTCGAATCGTTGTTCTGAAAGTGGGGAATGCATTTATGCTGACCTGATGTCATTAGGCCCGAAGGCCTAAGTGCAATTAATTTTTTTATTTATTTAAAATTTATAATATTAAATATATATTTATTTAATAATACAAAAAATTATATAAAATAATTATCCTATGACACCCGATCTTTTAAATGAAAAAGTCAGAAAAAAGAAAGTTGATTTTTTTTTTTTGACAAGGGTAATGATTAAGAAGTTAGTATGAGTTAACTGTTAACAACTGAGATCTTTCAAATCGGGTGAATATTTCACCCTCTCAAATGAGACGCGCGACCATTAAATCATTTTTGTTGGAGTTCACGACAGTGATAAGAAAAAAAAAAGTTGATTGAATGAAAATTAGGCAATTTAGCGTGCCGCGGTGGATTAAGTTGCAGATGTGTGGATTGACGTGCCGATTTTAGACAGAATGTAACAAACCTGAGTCGCGTGACTTTTTTTCCATTAATTTTGGGCACAAATTCTTAAATTCGTGTGTTCAGGGGTTTAAAATTACAAACTTATAGTTTGAGGGCAGCTAGATTCAAACTTAGCAAGTTGAGGGGGCAAATGGTGATTTTTGCCCCTTCAAGTTCATCTGCAGCTTACCTTCTTAAATAACCACCAGTTTTTTTATCAAATCCTCCATTTCTCCTCTTCCTCCTCCAAGGTAACGAGACACAGACGTTTCCGTTTCATCCTCTGTCGGATCCGCAAACTGGGTTTTCTGATTTCTCAAACCAGAAGTAAGTTCAGATTCTTCATTTGCTCACTGTTAGCTTTCATTTGAAGGGTTCATTTGTTTCAGATTAGGGTCGTTTGATTTGGGGTTTGGTTGGTTGAGAAAGATAGACGAAAATGGATAAGTTGAAATTTGCTGAGTGGGGTGAGCGATTGAAAACGGGTGGGGCTCAAATGGGTAGAATTGTGAGTGGGAAAATGAAGGAAATTCTGCAGGGTCCCACGCCGGAATCCAAGATGGTGGATGATGCCACATTAGAAACCATGGAAGAGCCCAACTGGGGCATGAATTTGAGGATTTGTGGGATGATTAACAGTGAGGAGTTTAGTGGGTCTGAGGTTGTTAAGGCCATAAAGAAGAAGATTTCGAGTAAGAGTGGGGTGACCCAAAGGTTGAGTCTTGATTTGTTGGAGGCCTGTACAATGAATTGCGAGAAGGTATTCTCGGAGGTGGCGTCGGAGAAATTGTTGGATGAGATGGTTAAGATGATTGAGAATCCGCAGACTGATGATGAGAATAGAGAAAGGGCTCTGCAGTTGATTCGAGCTTGGGGACAGTCTGAAGATCTTGCATATTTGCCTGTATTTCGCCAGACATATATGGTAATTCTTTTTTTCTTCATTGAATTCTTGGTCAATCTATATTGTAAATTCTGTGACAGATATTGATGTTTTTGCAGAGCCTAAAAGAAAGAGGTACACATGTACCAAATGTGGATTCATATGTCCAGCAGCCATCTGAGAATTATCCTGTTCCTGATACAGGAGTGGATGGTGCAAATGATGGTACCTTTGTCTTTAATTATGGGAGTCTGTCAGTTGAACAGAAAAAGGAATTTTTTGAAATAACTCGAAACAGCCTTGAAGTGCTCTCAAGCATGTTAAATACTGAAGGGGAGCCAAAACCAATTCAGGTAATTCATTTCCTTGATGACTTCTAATTTGAAAAGCAGTATTTTTCCTAAAAATTTTGTTAGTAGTCGGCATTGCCACACATTCGGTGGCTTCTTATGTTTAAGGACAGACCTGTTACAATTGACAATGTATTTAACCCTTAGTTCCATCCACTGGGAGATCGTTTTTCAGATGATTCATTTAAATATGGAGCTGCTTGTTGATGTTTCTAGGATTGTGTGGTGGTAACCATGTAATACATCTTACTTTTCTTATGCCATGATCCGTTTGTCCTAGGATTAACTGTTCAGGTTTATGCTAGCGTGGCAAATGGAAGGTGTGAAATGAAATAACAAGACGAAAATTTGCAAGCTGACAAAAATTCACTTGTGATTGTAGGATGACTTAACAATGAGCATGCTGGAGAAGTGCAAGCACTCGCAGCCAGTCATTCAGATGATCATAGAAAGCACCACTGAGGATGATATTCTCTTTGAGGCACTGCATCTTCATGATGAGCTTCAACGAGTCATCTCCAGATGCGAAGAGCTGCAAGCTGAATCAAAGTCTGGAGGACAAGAGCTAGAAGCTGGTTCCAATTCTGGAGGACAACTGCCTGAAAACTCTTGTACAGCTGAGACCAATGTCCCTTCTCAAGTTGACACCCCTAATTCATCCTTGAAGGCTGAGTCTAATAATGAAAAACCTGAGAGAGGTGAACCCCAGAGCTCAGACGGAACTCATGATGCTTCTTCAAAGGATGAGACTCATGGTGAAACTGAAACCAAGAGAGATGAACCCTAGAATGGAGAACAGCCATGGAAGAAGCATTGAATGACAGCTTCATGGGGATTCTATGTCGTCTGCTGTGTAGGTCTTGTTAATGTCCTTTTGGCGCTATCAGTATCAACCCCTTTAACTACTTGCACTGATATATGCAGTTATGTACTTCCTGCCAAATCAGAATGCTAATGATTCTAGACTTCAATTTAATTTATGGCTTCTTTCAAATTTAAGTACATTTTTTCTTATTATTCATGCAAAATAAAACAGGGTATCACTTTCTTAGCTTGAAATTGTGTTAGGTTGCAAAACCAGAACCATGAGAAAGGCGAGCTGCTTACCTGATGGTTTGTATATACAATTCGATCTTTCGGGAAGTCAAGGAAGAGTCTATACGTGCATAAAAACTGATTCGGGAACAGATCCACCGCTACTACTCTTCGCTGAAATGAAAACTCAAGCCAAATTTATTACTCTTCCAAATCCCAAATCATTGAAATCAAAGCCCTAATAATTTTCCAGGAAAATTCGCGACAGATTTCCGCTTTTAGAATTCAAATTCTCATCTCCACGATTCTACCTGCTAAGCTTCCTTCTCAAAACCATAGGACCTAACACTGAGAACTTCCGCTAAACAATGTCACCCCTAATCTCCCTAGGCAAAATTTTGCACCTGGAGTAGGAGAATTTCAAGTCTTACAGGGGTCAGGAGATCATTGGTCCATTTTCCGACTTCACTGCCGTTATTGGTCCTAAAGGTGCCGGCAAGTTGAACCTTATGGACGCGATTAGCTTCATGCTTGGGGTCCGAACGGCAGCTCAGAGGCGCCCAACTTTAGGACCTTATCTACGCCTATGACGATTCAGAGAAAGAGCAGCGTGGTCACCGTGCATTCGGGCGCCTCGTCTACTGGTGCTAGTGAGTTCCGCATTGATGGGAGGGTGGTAAACTGGGACGAGTACAATGGGAAGTTGAGGTCTCTTGGTATTCTTGTTAAGGCCCGAAACTTTCTTGTGTTTCAGGTAACTTATCTGTTCTTAACACTGTACCATTTCTCTTTAAAACTTTCAACCATTAGCAGTTTTAAGGAATCTACTTTTAATATATAGTGTTTTGAAGGTTGAAACAGTGTTTTTTTTTTTTTTTAATTGTGATGTTTCTATCTTACTCTGGGGTCAAACAATTTCTTCTTTAAATGGCCTGTTGGATTTATTGGAAGTTAGAGGTTGTTCAAGTTCAGCACTTGATGTTGCATAGGTGGTATGAGCGATTTAAAAGGTTTTAAATTAATTTGGGTAGTAGTGGGATATGCTAGTTACGCCCTTTTTTTCAATTTGGAGGATTTCAAACCTAGTTTCTATGGGGTTTGAAAAAATTCCTGACAAGAAATATGATTCTGTGGTGCAGGGTGATGTTGAGTCCATTGCATCTAAAAATCCCAAAGAATTTACTGCACTGCTTGAGCAGATTTCTGGCTCCGAAGAGCTGAAGAGAGAATATGATGATCTGGAAGAGAAAAAAGCAGTTGCTGAGGAGAAATCAGCACTTGTGTACCAGAAGAAAAGGACTATAGTGATGGAGAGAAAGCAGAAGAAATAACAGAAGGAGGAAGCAGAGAAACATCTTCGCTTGCAAAATGATCTGGTATGGATGATAATATTTTTGGGAATCCTGTTTAATATATATATATATATATATTTGTGATTACCTGTTCTTCCTTCATACGATAAAAGTTCTTAATCATCTTTTCTTTTTCGTCGTCTAAAATATCCTGCAGAAATCTTTGAAGAAAGATTACTTTTTGTGGCAATTGTTTAATATGGAGAAGGATATTTCAAAGATGAACGATGATCTTGAAGGTGAAAAGAAAAACTGCGAAGATATCATGCATGAAATTCAGCAGTTTGCAGATGAAATTAATGAAAAGATTAAGAAGCAGATCAAGTACCCAAAAGAGATTGCTCAACATGAAAGAAAGATTGCTGATAGAGGCACTAGACTAGACAAAAAGTGAGAGTTTTGTTCTTCATCTGTTATTTAGTAAGTGCTGGCTGTTACTCCTTACTCCCATCTTTTTTGCTAACAATACTTTGTCCAAGTTTGAACCAATCATGTGAATGGTTGGATCTTGTGTTGACTAGAATGGTTAGTTTACATTTAAGTGGGAAATATATTCAATTGCCGCCTTTATTGATTATGGTTTTCCATAATTGTTCCAAACCAACCCTAAGTTTTGTGTTATGGATTTTTTGAGCATTACTTACAAGTTCCTTATGTAAAATGATAGCCCTTTGCAGCAGTTAATGCTGTCTTTTGAGTTTTGTATATTCTGGTTTTAATGGATGGTGGAAACTTGAATGTAGGTTTCATAAAATTGTTTACACTCAGCCAGAATTTTGGGGCAAGATTTAACTATTTAACAGGAATATAAAATACGGGTCAGATAAGCAAGGTTAAAGCTTGTTATGATTAGAGTTTGGAAGGCTAAAGGTGATTCTGTTGTGATTATTTCTTGAATAAGAAGACATTTGGTAGGAAGTTGGACAGAATGGCTGTATACTCAATATATGCCCTTTAGCAAAAGATGATGAACTTTCCATTATTGGTTGCATCATGCAGAAAATAAATGAGGGATTTGATTTCTATCTGGATGGGTCTCTAAAAACTGGAAATACTTCCTTGTATTACTTTTATCGACCATACCTACATTCTGCTAAATGTCTTAGAACTCAATTGGCCTAGCTGGAGCTTATGTAGAACTTTTGTTTGTGTAGGGCTTTCCTAAAAGTCTACCCAAAAATGCTCCTTTCCAGAACCTATGAATGTGCAAGTTCAGCTTTTAGCCCTCTAGAAAAGCTAGAAGTTCCTTTAAGAAAACCTTGTTCGACCTCACTTCCACTTATGCTGTAGAAAAGCCCACTCTAGGCAATTCAGGCACTTGGTTATACAATTATGAATTTTTTCCTTTTGCATGCTGTAAAGTATTTTGGAATTTGTTATCACTTGTCATTATACAAATTCCTCTGGGTGTATTTAGTTTTTGATGTACTTACCTGTGCATGTATTTTGCTCTCAAAAATTAAATGCTTTATCTATAAATGATGGTTTGCATGGTTGTTTACAGTTTGATTATGGACCTCTGGCTTCTATGGAAATTTTTCATGGATACCATATGGCATAGTATTATGCTGCAAGGGGCAAATATGGCAGGATCTTTTCTGATTTTCACCATATTTGGTTATGCATCGCTTTTTGTAATTTTATGAGTGTGCAAATTGCTGATTATGTTGTACTAGGAATATGAACTATGATGGTTGTTCTATCAGTTATACAAGCTGTGAAGAAGCTAATGGTAATGGTATGTTTTTGTCTTCTCTGAATGCACAATGCAGCAACCTGAGCTTCTGAAATTAAATGAGGAAATGTCTCAAATAAAGTCAAAAATCAAGAGTTCAAGGAGGGACCTTGACAAAAAAAGGGAGAAAGGAAGAGACATGGTAATGATATTGAAGAATTACAGAAGGGCAAAAAAGATTTGACAGCAAAACTTGAAGATTTAAATGAAAAAAATAGAGACAGAAGTGGCAAACTTCCTTTGCTTGACAGTCAACTGACAGAATATTTTCAAATGTAAGTTTTCTTGCTGATATCCAGATTATCGTTGCTGCCCTTCCTGAAGGGTGTTCTACCACACAATATGATTCCTCCTCAGCTTCTAGTCTTCTTCTTCTAGGGATTTATGAGGATGTTTCTTCCCAATTTAAGCACAAATTTTCTGGTGCTTGGAACGCCTAGTTTTATTATAGCTTATTGCATTTCTCAGTTTTGTTTGGTGTGAATGTCAATTATTGATTCAAAGTAATATTAGATCTGTCTTTTTACAAGTTCAAGTTACACCTTTTGTTCTTCCGGTTCCATTTTCTTGGAAACTTTCAGGATTTATTATTCATGTTCCCACAGTGGCATTTGTGCTTAGGGTTGTAGATAGTACCATCTTGGTATTACCTTGCAAATTCATTTCCCTCTGCTCCTAAACCAACTAATTCTTGATGTATATTAAGTTTCTACACTGTGCACCCATCTTTGTCTTTTTTTGGGGTGCGTGAAGTGTTATATATATGAATCTGTTCAAAAGTGTTGACAGTGTTGAATACTTTAGTTATTAGCTTTATTGTCAAGATGTAATTATAGGATTGTATTGGTTGGTCTAATAAGTGATCAGAGTTTTGATGTTTCACTAAGGAGGATGCAGAGATGAAAACTACTAAGCTAAGAGATGAGAAGGAAGTTTTGGATACGCAACGGCATGCTGATATGGAAGCCCAGAAGAACTTCGAAGAAAATTCTCAACAGTTGAGCAATAGGGAGCATGAACTCAGTGAACAGGAAGCCCAAATGCGGGCAAGACTAATGAAGATTCTTGATACTTCTAGTCAGCATAAGGAAGAGCTTGCAGAACTGAAAAAAGAACTGTGTGCAATGCAAGAAAAACATCTAGATTCCAGGTCAATGATTTAGTCTGTACACATTATATCTTTGATTGCTTTGGTGTTTGCTTTTGGTGGATAAGTTTTATGGTAGAAACTTTTTCCATAAAATTCTGAAAATTTACTTTTCTTTTAAGATGTTCTTTACTTAACTGAGATGTTTTATCTCTTGTCATCCCTATTGAATTTTTGATATGCAGGAGTACATATAAAATGCTGAAGTCCAGAATTTCTGACCTAGAAAATCAGTTACGTGAGTTGAAGGCTGAAAGATATGAAACTGAAAGGATGCTAAGTTGTCTTAGGCTGTTGAGACTCTGAAATGCCTATTTCAAGGGGTTCATGGTAAAATAACTGATCTCTGTAGGCCAACCCAGAAGAAGTACAACCTTGCTGTTACTGTTACTATGGGTAGATTTATGGATGCAGTCGTGGTTGATGATGAAAAAACCAGGAAGGAATGCATCAAGGTAGAACTTAATAATTTGTACAGTATCTCAAAGAGCAAAGGCTTCCTCCTCAGACATTTATACCTCTTCAGTCAGTGCTTAAGCTGATCATTGAAAGGTTGGTACCTTAGGTGGGACGGCAAAGCTCATATTTGAAGTGATCCAATGCCCTTGAGTTATAGGTTAAATATTCATTAGTTCTATCTCGGTTTATCTTTCTTTCCTGTATTTTTAGTTTCTTGTTTGGATTTCTTGCAAGAAAGCTGATTTTTTAACTGATCCTATATCATTTGCTGGTGCATGGTAGAAAACCTAGTTTTCTTAAGCCTCTATGGTTATGCCCACTTAAGGAGCCTGTTGATAGGTTTTTCAAAATGTCCTAGAGCAATTTAACATCTGATATATTTTTTGGATTATTTTTTATTTTTAATTCAATTTCTCCCTCTATATCTAAAGACTAATGATGAATCTAAGTTGATATTCTGGAGTGCAGAGTGGTGTTGAGTTTGTACTTGTTATTTCTTTCTTCTGTTTTAATGTGATTTACCTCTGTCTAATACTGTTTATTTGTTTTGTCTATAGGATAAGCTGTTGTTTGGAGAAAAAAAAAGAAGAGGAAAACTTAATAGAAAAACTTAAATTAAAATACAAAGAAATACAATACCTTTGTGGACTTAACATCCATACATTTGATCCTGTCTTGGAGAAGGCAGTGCGCTGTGGGAAACACTCTAGCATGTGATGATCTTGAAGAAGTCAAGGTCCTTAGCTGGAGTGGAGAGAGATTTAAAGGTAAATTTTGATTACCTATTTCATTTAATGGTTGTTGCTGGTTACTTGAGTTGATGTTCAATCATCTATGGTCATATCTGCTTGTATTAGTTGTAACTGCTGATGGAATAGTACTTACTAAATCTGGCACAATGATGGGTGGTACAAGTGGTGGAATGGAAGCAAGGTCAAATAAGTGGGATGATAAAAAAATGGAAGGTTGGTTTCATGCTAAGATGATTTTGAAGTTTTCTTGTGGTCGCATTTATTGTTGCTGATTTGCAGGACTTAAACAAAGGAAAGAGCAGCATGAATCAGAGTTGGAAGAACGGGGGTCAATCAGGGAGATGCAACTAAAAGGGTCTGAAATATCAGGCAGAATTAGTGGACTTGAAAAGAGGATCCAGTATGGTGAAATTAAGGTAATACTTAATGACTTACATATGGAGCAATCCTGCTGTCTTTTAGCACATTTTGTTCTGACAAGAATCATGTGTGGATTAGAAAAAGTTGAGGGGTAAATACCCCGATTTTCTAGTTAAGAAAACTAAAACATTGAATGCTAGGGAAAACTGAAAGAATTATTGTTCTATTATTCTGAGATATAAAATGAGTATATAGGCTTTGAGGTATTTTATAACATTATAAATAAGAAATCCTAGATAAAATTCTATCATATATAAGTTTTAATGATAAATCTAGGATCTATTACCATAATTAAATCAATTAATCACTTAAATGTAATTGGTTCCTAAATATAACATATCTTAATTTTTAACATCCCTCATGCCCCAAGAAAACAACCGGACCCAATCACATTCTGTTAACAGAAAGTTAAAAGCTAAAATAAAGAGTAAAACGAAACTAACAAATGGCTAGAAGGAGAGTAAACAAATTAACGCTCAATTTTAAGGAGTTGAGCAAAATTCACTGTGATAGATACAAAAAGCAGTACTTTTCCTTTTTCTTTCAGAAAATCAAAACTAAGAAAAAGCCAAGAAAATGGTGAAAGGTTTTAATAAAAAAAGGTTTGTTGAAGCGAAATAGAATTCAGGTACCTCAGGCTTTGATAACAATTTAAGAAAATTAAAACAAGGGTTTGCAGGTTGGGAAAGTGAAAGAAAGGCATATTGTTTATTATTTTATGATATAAACCAGCACATAGGAGAGCCTCTACATGTAGCTTTAATTTACTTGTTACATTAAATAAGAAATCCTAGATTAGTTACATTCTATCATAATAATTAAACAGTAAATTTAGGTTCTGTTACCATCATTAAATGAATCAATCATGATTCCTAAATATATTAACGTATCTTAACATTCCTCAACACTTTGCACTCTTGGCTACCTGAGCAACATGCTTAAGGTGGTGATTGGAATTTATTGATTTTCTGTTTCCCTAGTGATACAATATGTATTTGACTTGCACCTCTATTGCCCATCTGCATATATACCTTCTTTACTTCCTTGTTATAGACAATTATTCTGATTTGGATACTAACAAAGATCTTGTCTGAAGAAGTTTGTAGTTGCAGAGCTTTAAAAGTAGAATAGACAAAACCTTTCAGAGTTAGCTAGTAAGCAAAGATTGATTGGCAGGGGGTATCTGACAGTTCAGGTGGTACTTAATACATTTCCTTTTTTCAATCCTCTTCTTTCAAATATGCTTGACAAGACATGAGGTCATGCCATTTAGGAGTGAACAAATGCTCCTGTCTGCCCAACCACTGCATAGGTTTAGGAGGGTTCTTTTTCTTCAGAAAATTATCCTTTTGTCACTTATATGCTAACAATGAACCCAATATCCTTGTCTGTTACCATATTGATAAGTCACTCATCATCAATCCCTGTAGTCATGATAATGAATACTGGCTTTAGGTACATGATATTCATTATTTATCTTCTCTCCCCTTCTTTTACCATCATTGCACATGACTTGATAGAAAGCATCTCTTAGAACATAGATTGATAGATTTTTCAAAACAGAAAATGTCACACTGCAGATATGTCCATTGTTACTATGCATGTCAAATATGATAAATAACACTAAATTTTATTACAGAGAAGCATAGAGGACAAACTTGCACTCTTGAAAAAGGAAAAGCGGAATTTCAAGGATGAGATTGGACGTATAAATCCTGAACTTCAAAAGGTGATTTTATGCGGCAACTACATCCTTCTAGTCCTTGTAATATGTTGCTTATATAATGATTATATATGTATATATATATATATATATATATATTTCTTGAAGTTAAAGGAAGCTATAGATAGAAGGGCCACAGAGATTCAAAAGCTTGAAAGGAGTATCAACGGAATTGATGATCAAATCTCTGAAGATTTTAGTCAGTCTGTAGGTGTAGCAAACATCCGTGAGTATGAAGAAAACCAGCTTAAGGCCGCTCAAAACATGGCAGAAGAGAGACTTAACTTCAGTAATCGGCTAGTACTAGTATGTTTTTCTTTGGTTTTCTTATTTATAGAACTCTAAAAGCCTTTCACAATGTGTGTGTGTGCATGAATGCATTGGCTGATTGAATACTTGCTTGACAAACTTCTATTTGGTCTGGAAAAATACTTTTGATGATATGGTTTTGCCTATCCAGCTGTATGGCAAAATTCACCTGAGTAGGCGTAGCATAGTTCAATATATAATGGGTGAAGAAGTTACATGTCTAATTTGATATATGGGTATTTGGCCCCTCAAAGTTCTGATTCTTTAATGTTAAAGCAGTGCCTTATGGTACCACTAACCATAGCAATCCCAGTTGTAGCATGCCATAGGGGACCAACCAAGAATTGCATCATTTCTCAAGAACTAATGGGAGATCAACCATGTCTTGGGAAAGGAGGAAGAGAACAAATATTAGATGTAACATATTTGTTACCAAAAGAATGGGCATGCAGCATTATTACACCATTTCTATTGTCAACTTTGTGCCCTCTGTTTATGTTCAAACAGTCAGAATCATTTTGCTTTGTCCCTGGACAATTGTGAGATTTTCTCAAGAAATTGTTCACCATAATTCCTTCTACAGAGTAAAAATATTCCTTATTACAGATAGTTGGACAAGTGAAAAAGGCAGAAGTTATGGGGAAAAATTAACAAGGTTGTCATTCAGCATGTGGTAGAAATTTTACTTTGTTGTCCTTTGAATTGGCTGCTGGGATCTGGATTAGTGATGTCAGACTGCTGATTAGAGCAGGTTTCTGGCTGCTGATTAATTGTTTTCAATGAAATAGAGAAACAGATGAAGGGATGAGGAATAAAAAGCCTCAAGTATTTCTCTATTGTTTAAGCTTTCAACCTTTTCTGTGTACTTTATAGTTAAAAAAAATTACAGACTTGCTTTCAGTCTTGGACCTTACATATTCATTAGATTAGACGAGACGCAGCTTTGAGAAAAAAATTCTGCTAATTTAACCGAATATTGTAGATCCATTTAAATCTCAAGAAACTTAAATTTGTTTGAGGTCACTATGTGTTGGACCTTACATATTGCTTTCAGTCTTGGACTTATATATTTATTAGATTATATTAGATGCTGCTTTTGGAAAAATTCTCAAAGCTTGGACCTTACATTATTGCCTTCAGTCTTGGACCTTACATATTCATTAGATTAGGTTAGATGCCGCTTTGAGAAAAACAATGCTGCTAATTTAACTGAATATTGTAGATCCATTTAAATGTGAAGAAACTTAATTTTGTTTGAGATCACTATGTATTTCTGAAACATTTTGCATTCTGTCTTCATACGCTTTCATTCTATTGATCCTTTGCTTTTAGAAGTCTTTTCTTTAGGTGTTGGGATGATATAAACTAAGGGCCTGGTTTTTTGTTCCTGTTTATGGCTGCTTCTTGTAAGAAGGTGAAATAAAAATAGAAGAATGGTTGAATATGGGGTCACACAATGTTTAGTGTGCCAACCACTTAATTATATTGATGGAATAACATAACAATATGGTGATGCCCTAGTTTGGATTTAAAACTCACATACAACCTCGGGTAGTTGAATCCCTCCCATTGGATTCGACTATCACTTGAAAAACTGGAACATTCTGTAGCTACTACAAAAGAGAGTCAACTCCCAATATAGGGGAATTGACTGCCACATCAAATCTCACACAATACTTCTCTTGATTGTTTCTTTAGATGCCATACTGCTTGACCTTCAGTCCTTACCATTTGATCTCCTGATTACATTTTGTGTTCTTTTAAACGTACAGGTTGGAGTATGAACGTAAACGGGATGTGGAGTCACATAGTGCAAATCTGGAAACTTCTATTAGTTCTTTGGAGAATGAATTAAAACAGGTGCAGAAAAAAGAGGCTGACTTCAAGTGAGCAATAGAGAAAGCTTCTGCTGAGATTGACCAGTTGAAGAATGAAGTTGGAGGTATGCTTTTGTTCAGTTTTAGTAAATGATGCTAATCTATTTGTTGTGGAAGGTTATCCTTATTTAGTTACCATTTTATGGGAAGGATTGATTTTATACTGGTTTCAGTGTTTCCTAACTGTTCTACATCCTTCTTGTATAGTTGCTTGTTTTGTTGAAACCAACTATTGGATTTAATGTCTTACTTAGGTTGGTCATGTATGCCAAGTTTTAAGTTCATGGAATGAGCCCAAGCATAATTCTCCAAAAAATAAATAAGTAAATGCATGATCAAGCATAATCAATGGCCATTAAAAATGCATAAATCACTAGTTTACTTCTTGGATGGTCATGGGTTTGTGATTGTCTTGAATTGACATTCATAATATACACAAATATAATATTGCATCCAGTAACTGATTTGCAGAAAGCCAACCTACAATAAAATGTTATGGTGCTGTTGCAGTGCAGAAACGAATATACTATGGGTTTTTAGGGTAAAGGCACCTTTTTAATATTAATTGTTATTGAAAAAAATAAAAGTTGACCTTTATTTAATCAACTATCTAATTAAAATAATCCATGTGGCATTGCCGATGAATTAGGTGTCAACTTTTATCATTTTCAGTTTCATTTAATGACAAAAATGTGCATCAATCACACCCTAGGACATAGGTTAGAAAAATCCATATGCTATTGCATCCAATAGTTAATCTGTAGGAAGCTCAACTATGGTATAGTGGTGTGGCGGTTAGGAGACTGTCAAACTTATAATGCAAAAAACAAGCAATTTTTGTCTTCTATGGAAATGTTTGAAAATACATATCCTAGCTTTATTGGATTCAAATTTGCTCATGTCTTTTATATCCCCTTATAAACTCTCATCTTCTAACCCCATCTGCTCTTCATGACTCCTCTCTCGTGGCTGAACTTGTGCTGTTTTATTTATTTCCTTGATTATAATATTGTAGAGTGGAAATCAAAGTCAGAAGAGTGTGAGAAGGAAATCCAGGAATAGAGGAAGCAGAATTCTGCAGCTACAACTGGAGTATCCAAACTTAATCGCCAGATAAACTCAAAGGTCCCTACACTTTCATCTTTTCCCTTGCTGTAATATATTCTTTGGGTACCAAAGAATATCTACTAATAAATTGTTCTGACATAAATATATGTTTGTTTGATTTTTCAGGAGGCCCATATTGAGCAGCTGATATCAGAAAAGTAGGAAATAGTTGAGAAGTGTGAACTAGAACGTATTGAACTTCCTATGATCTCAGATCCTATGGAAACCGAATCTCTAAGGACAGGACCAGTTTTTGATTTTAGCCAGCTAAACTGATCTCATCAGGGTAGGAGACCACCTAACTGGGACAGGCTTGAGGCAGAACTTAAACAGAACATTGATATGCTTGTATCAGAAATTGAAAGAACAGCTCCAAATTTGAAGGCACTTGATCGGTATGCTGCTTTGCAACAGAAAGAAAGAGATGTAATTAATGAGTTTTGAGGCAGCCAGAAAGAAGGAGAAGCAAGTGGCTGATGGTTACAATTCAGTTAAGCAGAGGAGGTACTGATTAATAGATCAACCCATTTTTGCATTATAAGCTTTTAATAAATTAAGATAGTACCAAAAAAATCAGAATCTAGCTAAAGTGTACGGCTACAAGATTAGATCATTCTGGTAATGGTGTCTTTAAGCTGAAACTGATTTAAAGTTGTGTGGAGTGTATATTAATTATCTGCAATAAAGAAATTTGCTTCATAGTTCATAACTTGTTTGAAATCATTTGTATCTTTAATTCTTAAGTTATTGCAAGGTAATTTGGATGGTAGTTACACTGGGAACCTAAGGTGTTTTAAGCTACCCCCTTCCCCCTCTTTAGGGTGGTGATAGTTGTTTTATATGTAGGAAGGTTGGTTATTGGTTTTCATTATCTGCCTCTTTATTTTTGTATATGCAGATATGAGCTGTTTATGGAAGCTTTCAACCACATTTCTGGTAGTATTGACAAGATTTACAAGCAACTCTCCAAGAGTAATACTCACCCATTGGATGGGACAGCATATTTGAACCTAGAAAATGAAGATGATCCTTTTCTACATGGCATCAAGTAGACAGCTATGCCACCAACAAAGCGATTCTGTGATATGGAGCAGTTATCTGGTGGAGAAAAAACTCTTTTTCACATATTTGATATTTCCATCCTACATTGGAATGGAATCTTATGCAAAGTTGGGATTTATTTGATTTAAATGGAAATTTGACCCAGTTTTAAAGTCGTTACAACTTTAAATTTTTAATGACTTTCAGTACCTCAACTGATATATCTTCATTCATTTTGACTGTGCTATTGCGAGGACCTTTACAGCTTAATGCACCCTGCTCGTCTTCCTTATTGCAATCATTTCAGTATTCTGTTGTGAGCTTCTTGAGTTGTCAGTTGCTTTCTAGTCTGTATATGATATGCACAATTAAGTTTTGAGGAAAACAGCACATAGATTATTCTCATTTTATTTTCCATGGTCTAATGTTGTTTCACTTTCATATATGGGTGATTCAGCTGCAGGCCTTCACCATTTTTCATATTGGATGAAGTTGATGCTGCATTGATTGCATAATCTTAATGTGGCTAAGGTCGCTGGATTTATTCGTTCAAATTCATGCGAAGGTGCAAGAAGTAATCACGATGGTGATCAGGGAACTGGCTTCCAGAGTCTTGTGATATCTCTGAAGGATAGCTTCTATGACAAGGCTGAAGCACTCGTTGGGATTTATAGGGACTCAGAGAGGAGGTAAGTTCTCTCTCGAATTCTCTTGGTTCAGATGATGAATGGCATCATTGCATGTGATCCAGTTTGCGAAAATAACCATGCTTTACTGCTTGCTTGCAGCTGTTCCAGGACACCGACATTTGACTTGACCAAATACTGGGAATCATGAAATTACAAAGTACTGTCCATATTTCATTATTTAGATAACCTAAGTTCCTTACAATCATTAATCACTTGTACATATGGTTAGCACTTAGCTCTTGTGATCTTGGTAGGTATATATTAGGAGAAAAAAAAAAGGTAGGTATATATTAGAAAATCAAAGAATGTTGTTTCATAAATAAAGCTTTTGTATCATTCTTATGTTCAGACACACGGCTTTGTCTCCTAATCCTCGAACAGCTGTAACTTGAATGAAGTTGGTGTATTTCTGTTGAGTAGAATGAAGCCTATCAATGCAACTTTTTTGAAATGATTTTCTTAAAATGTGAAGTTACGCTTCTTAATAATAATATTACACAAGTTAAAACCTTGGACCTTGACTATAAATTAAGGTTTTATTAGGCTTTTCAATATTTTTCCTACAATAAAATGTGACATTAATCATGCAGATGTATATTAATTAATGTGTCTTAACATAATAAAAAAGTTAATCACTCAATTACACTATTTGATCTCACGTACGTATTGCACAAAATATTGCAAGGATAAATCCATCATTTTCATTAGAAGTATACTTCATACCCAAGTGAAATTGGACTTCATTCGTATCAAAATTGAAAATTCTAAATTTTTTTTTTCAAGGGAAGCAGGCTAGAGCTGCTGCTTCCCTCGTCCCCTCCATTCTATTTTTCTCCTTTTCCTCCTTTTTTCTGACCCTTCCAGTGATATTGGTTTCTTTATTGTTTTGTTGTTTTCATTTTTAATTCTTTTTACTTTTTTTTTTTAAGGTTTTTTTTTTTCAAAAGCATTCTCACCTCCCCTGGGTTTACTTCTGTGGGAGTTTATTATCTTCGGAGAAGGCCCGTTTAGATTTTACCAATATTAGTTCCCCTGGTTGGACAAAGCTCGTTTGGGTTCTATTCTACTAGATCCTCTTCCTATTGGTGAAGGAACAAGGCAAGAGAGGTGGTTGCTGTCATCTAAGTTGCTATGGTGTAAGGTGTACCATGGCAAGTGATGTAACTAATACTTGAGAGGCTGGAAAAGCAACTTGGATGGAGAGGATGATTTCAAGTTTTTGTTAATTTGCGTCTCTTTTTAGTTTTCTTAGTTTTCCTACTTTGTATTTAAGTGGGGGTATTTATCAAAGTAAAATAAGGTATTAAATTGTTAATTTGTCTTTTTTATACATAAGATATAGAATTTAATGAATTCTATAATTTTACCTTTTTTTTCTTTCATTAATGAATCGTTTTTTTATTTAAAATATTTACTTTTAATAGTTTTGCTTCCTACTATATAAAAATCTTGCATTTGTAGGTTCAGAATTTTCAATTTGGCAAAAGGAATTAATCCATTTCTTTGTAACTGCCACAATTTCTTGCTATTTTCAACCGCTAGTTTGGTTCATCTTAAATTCTGCTCCAAAGAATAGAGTGGTTGGGAAATATGGGAACACAATATTAGCTTTGTTTATTTTTCTTTTTCCAAAAAAGAACATTTCCTCTTTTTTTTGTCAGCAATTTCTTTCTCTTCTAATATATTTTGAAAGCCAACCTTCTCTTTGTTTGTAGGAACTCTGATAAAAGGAAAACTTCTTTATAAACCGAACCAAAAAATAAAAATAAAAAAGGGAAACGGAGAAGGGAGAGGGTAGTAGCCAAAGAAATACCATGTCCCAAGATGAAAACTTGGCAACTATCATTGAACACATGATGATAGACCAAGACGAAGAGTCCGACGCAGAAATTGAAAAAATTGAAAATGCCTCTCTCAATGACCGAGAGACTAATGAAGAAAATCTTGGATCATCACCAATTCAAGAAGGGAAATTTGTCGAGGAGGAATTGAAGATCAAGAAGAAGAAGAGGGCCTTGATGGGGTTGAGGTGTAGGGTTGAAGATGCAATTCTTGGGAACTATCTGATAGGAAAACCTACCAAGAAACTTGCACCGGATGAAAAATCCAATCCGGTAGAAGAACTCAAAGAAACAACCCTTTGGGGAGTGCCTTTGCTTCCAAGCAAAGGCGATGAAGGTACAAACATTGTTTTGCTTAAATTCTTACGAGCAAAAAATTATAATATCTCTGATGCCTTTCATCTACTTCAAAAGACATTAAAATGGAGAAAGGAATTCAAGGCAGATGAGATATTGGATGAAGAACTAGGTAATGACCTTGAAAAGGTAGTGTACTTGGATAGCAAAGATAAAGAAGGTCATCCTTTGTATTACAATGTAAATGGGGCTTTCAAGGACAAGGTATTATATAGGAAAATTTTTAAGACAGAAGAGAACTTCAAGAGGTATTTGAGGTGGAGAGTGCAATACATTGAGAAAGGAATCAAAGAACTCAACTTCAAAAATGGCGGTACCGATTCCATTGTTCAGATTACAGATCTGAAGAACACACCAAGGACTAGTGAAAAGAAAGCCTGGATGGCACTCCAAGAGAACTATCCTGAACTTGTCCACAGAAATGTAAGGATAATTATATTGAAGTCCCAGTGTTTTAGACACAATTTGTTTGTTCAATATGTTTTTATTACACAATCATATGTGGATTGTGGTAGGGTTTTGGATTTTGCAGATTATCATAAATGTTCCATTCTGGTTTTATGTGTCTCATTTGTTATCCTCACGGCTGAAAGTGAGAAGCCACAGATCACATAGCAAGTTCATTTTTGCCAGACCCTCCAGAGCCACAGAGACTCTCCTCAAGTAAGACCTTCCAATTCATTTCTACAAAGTTCAATCCTTACTCTTTTTAGTATGAAATAGGAAATCATAAATATACAATTTTAATTAGAAGGATTTATACTACATGATATAACATTTTATGATCAATTATTTTTGTTTAATTAGGGGACACGTGCGAATGGATATGCATCCATATGTAGTATCACCATATGAAACACATAAGGGTTTTTTTTCTTCTTTCACTTTATCGGAAGACAAGGAATTAACCAATATCACATATCAAGCATTTTTATTTATTTATTTTTTAAAGATATTTGGAGGAGGGATAATGTCAAACTCATCTCTTAAGAATGTGAGAACATATACCTTATCAATTAACTTGTTAGTTCAAATGCAATACATTGCTATTTGTTTAATGGAAAATTATTTATACATCCTCCAGTTCGATACAATTTTTAATATTTTAATTATTAAAATATAATCAATACAATTGATTCAATTAGTTTTTACATTTTGTATGCATTACTATATTTTTAAGTTATATGTCTTTAATTTCATATAAAAAATTAATAATTTTTTAATAAATATGTTATATAATATATTAAATCGTAAAGTGTACCAATTAATATCTTTGTTTAATTTGAGTAGTATCTAATTTATTTGAGAGGAGAAATTAACCGATATCAAATATATACCAAGTACTTTATATATACATATATATATTTGAGATATTTGAAGGAGTGATAGTCCAACTCATCTTAAAAACATGATAACATATACTTTATCAATTAACTGACTAGTTGTATCTATATATATATATTAATATAGGGAATACTGCTTATTAACATTATCTTTTAAAAGATTAAGAAGAAAATTATTTTAAAATTACGTAATTTTAATATAAAGTACTATAAGAAAGGACAAAAAACCTCTAATTCATACTTTAAAAATAAGATATTTTAGTTTTTTTCAATAAAAATTTATTGAAACAATGTAATTTTATTATGATTTCCCTCATAATTTTTAAAAGATAGGATTGATAGATATTATTCCCATTAATATATATATATATAAAGTTGCTAGTTCAAGTACAATACATTAATTGCTATTCGTTTAATTTGACTTGTATCTAATTCTCATCCATGAATTAATTTTCTCTTTCTAAACCAATTTTTTCTTGGGTAAATCAAACAAGGTTTGTAGCTCCAGAAAACCTTCCTGTTGAATATGGTGGACTCAAAAGGGAAAAAGACCCAGAATTCTCCCCGGAGGACAAGGTTACTGAGCTCACCATTAGAGGAAATGCATCTGCATCCATCTTAATTCCTACCTCGGAGGTACTTAAGTCTTAAGCCATAAAACTTTACGTAAAATTAAAGTAATATCAAAAATGTGTTTTTAAGTCTGGATGGCATAAAAGAAGTGAAGACGGGGGTGTAAAATTACCAAACTCCCCTTAATTCTTTACGCACCTATCTTAATCCAATAACACTAATTTTTGTACTCAAACTACATTTATATATATATATATATAATGTAGTTCAGACTGAAAAATTGGCCTGACTTTTGAAACTAATCCTTTAGGTCGGGGTTTCTGTAGTGTGGGACATGACGGTGGTGGGATGGAATGTAGGCTTCAAGGAGGAGTTCATCCCAGATGACGAAGGGTCATACCGAATTTTGCTGCAGAGTGACAAAGATAGGAAGGGAGGAGGGAGCTTGAGGAATTCGTTTTACATTAATGAGGCAGGGAAGATTATGATCACCATTGACAATGGCACTCTCAAGAAGAAGAGGGTTCTTTATAGATACCGAACCAAACCCACTGCTCCTAGCTACATTGTTCGCAAAGAACTAGGAATTTGATTGTTTTGCTTAATTTTAGCAGTATCTATCTTGAAAATTTTAGATTGGTTGCGAAGATGCAGCTCAATTTAAAGAAGGGCAAATTTTGTTCTTCCTCAATTTTTTTTCTTCCTGATGAAAACAATGTACCATAATTGAACTAATCAAACCTAAAAAAATTATTATTATTATTTGATAGTGTATATATTCTTATGTATTTATACTTAAGGGCATCTAGGTTATTATATGTAATGTGTATACATATATATACTTTGTAACCCTACACTTTAAGGTGATGAGAATTCTATTCTATTGCAATGGGAGCCACCTAATGTCAACATCATGACACTACTCCATATTTTGATGCCTCTTATTATCGAAGTATTGTTGGTGCTTTGCACTATTTGACTTTTACTAAACTTGATATTGCTCATTCTATACAGCAGGTATGTCAATAAATGCATGCTCATACTCAAAATCATTTTCAAGCAATGAAACATATTCTACATTATTCATCATGGTCTTAAGCTATATCAGGATTCATTTGCTTCCTTGCATATTTATATTGATGTTGATTGGGTTGGTTGTCTTGACACTCATCACTCTACCTCTAGTTATTATATATTTTTTGGTCATTCTCTCATTTCTTGGTTGTCCAAAAAGCAACACACTGTTGCTCACTTCAGTGCTGAGGTTGAATATAAGACTATTGCTAATGTGATTGTTGAGGTTATTTGGGCGAGACAATTGTTAGTTGAGTTACATGTTTATCTTTTCTCTCCTCCAATTGTTTATTGTGATAATCTTAGTGCTATTTACATGTCTTTAAATCCAGTTCAATATCAACAAACGAAACATATTGACATTGATATTCATTTTATTAAGGAGAAAGTTACCTCTTATCTTATCTCTCTTCAATATGGTCCTTCTTCTTTTCAGTTGGCAAATGTTCTTATAAAATTATTGTCTACACCAGCCTTCATTTGTCAGCAGTCCAATTTGTACGTGATATTTCACCTCCCCCAAAATGAGGGGGTATGATAGTGTATATATTTTTATTTATTTATACCTATGAGCATCTAGGTCATTATACATGATGTGTGTACATATGCATACTTTGTAACCTTACATTATAATGTGATGAGAATTCTATTATGCCACATTGTGATGAGCATTCTTGTTGTTGTTGTTGTTGTTGTTGTTGTTATTTTAAGGTTGGCCATAACACAAGGGGATGGAGAAATGTCAATGGTGGGGCTTGAGTTTGGGCTCAAACCTTAGTACCATCACATTTAAAGGTTGTTTGGTATAAGTAGTTTGAAACTAGTGATTAGTGGTTTCATCTAATTTAATAGTTGATAATTACTATTATTAATAATTCAAACATTTTCATTCATTGGATGAGACGAGACTATTAATTGTTAATTTCAAACTGCCATACCAAATATTTTCCTAAACAAGGTCAATTAATCATCTAGTGGAAGTTCAAATTTCAACTAATTTGCTTAGTTTGGATTGATTTGTTTTACACTTCTCTTCTAATATCAAACTAAAGCCAAATTCAAAAAGGATGCTTATGAAAGTATTCATAATAGTAAAGACAGTAAATCTGCTTCTTGATTTTCATATCTCCAATGTATCTTCGAATAATAGCTTTTGTATGATATATTCAGCTTCCTATTTCCTTAGGGTTCTGTACATACAACTCAACATATATTGCACTATTGTGTTCAATATTAATTATCAGTAAGAAGATCAGTTTCTGATGCATATCTTAGGACTCTATTACTCCACACTATATATAATGCAATATTGCAATTATAAAAATAAAAATAAGAACAATTAATAACCAACATTTATAAATAAAAAATGTTATAGTTATAATATTATGTGAAATTATAAATTTATAACATAATATGCTGTTATATAATTAGTTTCTTTTATTTCATATTTATCCGTAACATTGTATGTATCTACTTATTTAATATTATATTATATTAATTTAATATCACGTTATGATTATAAATTTATAATTTTATGTGATGTTGTAACTATTATATTACTATTCATTAATAAAGAAAATAATAAATATTCAACAAACTAAACTCAAGCTTGCAACCAAATAAGTACCATAAACCTATAAAATGAGACAAAATTTATAATAAGCATACAACAAAACTTAGGTATGAAGTTAACAATTATAGAAAAGTAAGACATGTGATTAAATTATAGGCTTGAAAGCTAGCGTTGTATTTATTGGTTTGACTAAGATTGCCAATTGTTCGTGTGGCCTAATGGATAAGGTGCCCGCCTCCGGAGTGGGAGACTGTGAACGTTCTTTCTTATATTCTATCTAGGGTAAGCATTCGGTTGGATACTCGAACGGTTACTTGGAAATTGAATCGAAAAAATAAATTTGATTTGATTTTAATGATTTTTGAGTGTTATTGTTTTGGTTTTGATATTAACCGAATAAATTTTGATTTGGTTTTAGTTTAAATTTTTACAAACCGAAAACCAAAAAGAACCACCTGAAAACCAAAATTCAGTTAAATATGACAAAATATGATAAAATATTACATGAAATATAATCTATTATTGGAAAAAAAAACTAATTAATGTTTATTTGGTTAAAATTGAAACCGAACCGATTTTATTAGTAATCAAACTGATCGATTTTTGAAAATTTTGGTTCGATTTCAATTCTCAAAATTGAAGAAAAAAATTTTTGATTAATTCAAAATCAGTTTCAATTTTAACCAAAATTGGTTTTTGCCTGCCCCTAATTCTATCATTTCCCTTTTTAACTTTTTCTTTTAC